TTTTTTTTTTTTTTTTTTTTTTTCTTATAGAATATAGAATATATTTTACAGAATTTATAAACAGAATATATGTATACAGATTTGAAAGTTACGTCACATGTTATATTTGAAAGTATATAAGAATATACATACATATATATACACATATATATATATATATATATATATATATATATATATATATATATATATATATATATAAAAGTATACATTAAAATTTTAAATATTCGTACTTAAAGAGCAAAGCAATAAGAATGTCCAAAACTAGATACGTGTCCAGGTTTTGAGATACTTTTATCTTAATGTACTCCATTACGGAAATATATTCACTCGAATCGATTGAGATATCCGCTCATAGAGAGTTAGAATCCATTTTAAGCTTGAGTGAAACATTCTTGTGATTTCGAATGACAGTATTCTATCGCTTCGAGCAAGAGTACTGCCACTTTTCACTCGTTTTGAATGAGATTCCGCTCCGAGAAATTTAGAGAGCATCCCCCGCTTTTTCCTGTCGCGATATTCATAAATAAAATCTTATTGACTAATCGTGCGTAAAGCGCAACAGGAGATAATTTCCACGCTGCTAGAGCTTACCTCGCCTGATTCGATTCATCTCACGATCATAATGTAACGACGCGTTAAAATGACCTCGAGTGTGAAATTGAATTTTTTTTCATACAATTTTTACAACACGGAGGCGGAAGGCGACGATAGAAAGTGATGTCAAATTTATCGACTATTATCAAAAGTTGCAGCTCACCTTCGCGGAACCATCGAGGCGATTTGGCGACACAATGTAACGTCACGCTAAAATGATTTCATGTATGAAAAGTCGAAAAGAAGATGATTGCGAATCTCCCTCGAGGCGAAAAGGGAGACTCATTCACTTTCTTTAGTGACATTAGTCGAGGCGCCGGTGAAATGCTCGGTTAAATGCTCATAAGTGTGCCACAGGGACGTTACAAGCGAAGTTACAAGCTACGAAGCAAGCGAGAATAAATCGTCTGACTTCTGGGAACGACGACGCGAAACGAAGTAACATGTCATCGACTGCGACCCGACTGAGACCGCCACTTCCTCCCTATAATGGAAGAAATATCTTCGGAACGTCGATATTGGGGGGATACGAAAATGGCGACAGGAGGAGAGTTCCTCACCTTCGAGAATGTTGGCCGTGGAATTTATACACCCTACCCACCGATCGTCATTCCCGACAGGGGATGCGTAAAAGTCGTCTCACGTGTTGCAAGTTTTATGGCCAGTACATATATCTGTTATCGCGCGTTTTCTGCCTTATATATTATCATTGCAAAAAATTTCATCAGAAAATATTTGTGTAAAAATTTTCTAAACGGCTTTAAAAAGGAGGTTCTCTGTTTGTCCTTTATGTACACGGAGGAAATATAATTGGTCCATAAATCTGTATTGGCGCAAGATTTATGGGGCCAATCATATTATTTTTTCTATAAACATAAATATTATATAACATTTTATATAAATATATAACATTTTATAGGAGATTCTATTTGAAATTACGAAGTTACCTCCAGTTCCCTTCAAAGAAGAGCGGAGACATATTTACTAGAATTTATTAGAAAAAAACTCCTTGAATATATGAAATTTTCTCATGAACAACTTTTTGATACGACAAATATTTTTAAAGTTCTTGGGTTGTCAAACTTTGCGTGGACCAGTCTGTACATATTTGTTTTTCTGTTCATAATTTGAGAACAATTAGAGATATAGAGATGAAAATTTTATAGCTTGTTCAACGTATTATAAAACTAGTGACCCCACTTTTTTATTTTGTCTTAGATTAATATTATTACGCGGGTTTATCTAAGCGATCTGAAAATTAAAAAATAATTCCATTACTTTCTTGAAAATCCGAAGACGTCTAGACATACAATCTTTTCATTTTAATAGACTTAAAAAGAAACCTTCTCTTAAACAACTTCAAAAACAATCTTTTGGTAAATAATTTAATGTTAACGAAATAAAAAAATTCCAAAAAAATAAAACGCCTTTTAAAATTTCAAAAGTTTTAAAAAATATGAAGTAATTTTGATTCAAAATATATTATATACCTCTACAATATTATCCTAATATTTTAACAATATTAGAAATCGGCACAAAAAATATACAAATTAGATAGATAACTAACTATATAACTATAGAAAGATAAATAATAAAAAATGGTATGATTGTGAAGCTGTCAGTCAGCTTTCCGCGCCGACTTCTGATATCGTTAGAATATTAGAATAGGATTATAGATATATACAAATATTGTATGGAAATTGCTTTATATTTTTTAGAACGTTAAGATTTTTTAGAACAATTTATTTATTTTTTATTTTTTCTTCTAAATTCAGGAGTTTACGTCAACGTCATATAAGATTTGTAAACTTCTTTCTACAGGCACTAATGCAAAGATTTTAATTAATAAAGATAAACAAATTGTAATGCCGCGAGAAATTGTCTCGATGGAACCGTGCACATACGCGCTAATGCCGTCGCATGCCGGCATTATTTCGGCGCGTCTCATAATAGACCGCATTTTTTATTTATAGTGCCTCGTGATTCTTATTATAGCAACAGCCACGCGAGAGGCGCGGCGAAAACAACGAGAGGAGAGCTTCTCGTGTCGTTCTGCCTCGCGACTTCGGTAGCGACTTCGGCCTTGAGTTAGACGAACGAGTTTTCTAGTTCGAAGACAGCACATTTAGAAATATTGATATACATTGTGATGGAATAAAGTGTACACCCGGTGTTGCGAATAATGACGCGTGGCTATTTGTGGACGCGTTACCGTTTCGCGCGCGAAATAGGCGACGGCATTTCACGCGAGACACATCGAAACTATGACACAACAATGCACAGACATCGTTGGTACATGAGTTTAGAATTTGTCAAATAATGGAAAGATAATGAATGATCTTTCCGACATGTTTGGCTCTGATATACCCAACGCGGGAAAATGGTCCCGAGTCGAAATTTTGACCCTATTAAACTTTCGAATTATTCTGAAGGGTCAATATATGCTTGTTACAAAGTAAAAACCTACTTAGCGCCTCTAAATAGCAAAAAACGTACAAAATCCTACTTGATTCTAAAGAAGAAACTCTCAAAGAGATTTGCTTTTTCGACAAAGTTGATAAGTTAAATAAAATTAAAAAAAGTTGATACAGATTTTAGAATATCAAAGTAAACATTAAATAGAATACTGAAGTCAAAATTTCAATTCGAGGTAAAAACCTAGGTTAGTGGACGAAATTTTAGTTCTATTTTCGACCTAAACTTCTAACTTTCTTTTCTATATATTCTAAAAAATTAGTGTATTTTTAAGAGGACGTACTGGAGTCAATGTCGATTTCAAAAATTATTGATAACGCAGACAATCGTCATCAATACAGTCACGTTTTCGTATTTCTTGTACGTATAGATTTTGCGTAAATGTGTGTTACTTTGTTATATCATATTTAGTGGAAAACCACAAATAACCTAACCACAAATAAAAATTTTTCTCTATCAAACTTTTCCGATATCTTTAAACTTCTAAATTCAGATATAAAGATACAGCAATGTTCCTTGAAATTTTTCTAAGAAGAGCAAACTCACGTTCATTATAACACAACAAATCTTTTGTATCAAGCGGATATTTACTTTAACTGATGGCGTATGACAGGTTGATTTATACTTAAAATATGAACTTTGAAATTTTTTATTGTTTTCGCCATATATTGAGCAATGTTTCAATTCACTTTCGCACATATTTTTATTGTGCAAGAGCATTTGTAACTCTATGCAGCCAAACTTTGCAAAAAAATTCAATATCCTGTCGATAAAAATTTCGATTCCAGCGTCCCTTTAATACACATAGAAACCAATACCCTACTTAATGTCTCTAAATGACAGAAAATACACAAAATGCCACCTGTAAGTTCTAAAGAGGACCTTTCGACAAAGTGTGTGTGTTAGTAAGTTAAATAGAATTAAAAAAGATTGATGTAGGCTTCAAAGTATCAAAACAAACGTTACGTTGTTGAGGCCGAAGAATAAACTCAAAATTTCGACTTGAGAACGTGTACGAAAAAGGATGTCTTGAAGATCATATACAGAAATAAGAAAGGGATATGATCAAAATGCACTCACCCTCTGCGCCTTCCGCTTGTCGGCACGTTGGTTTTGATGATATATTCTGCTGAAATTACTGACGATAACAGGTACCGGTAAAGCGATCACTAGGACACCGCTCAAGGAGCATACACCCCCCACGATTTTTCCCGCGATCGTTTTCGGAACCATGTCACCGTAGCTGAAACAGACAAGAAGAAATATCCTTTAAGAAAGCTGCCCTGCAACTTACTCGATGTATTATAACACTTCTCACAGAAAATCAAATACTTACATCGACAACAATCGAATATCGATATTCATACGCATGCTGAAATGCAGTGAATGATCAAAGTTTTGCGAGTCGCATAGAGAGAGAGACTCGAAAGAGAGAGAGAGAGAGAGAGAGAGAGAGAGAGAGAGAGAGTCGACAAATTTATGAAACTTGCCATTTGAGGGTTTCCAATATTAACTGAGAGGGAGGGAAGGAGGGAGAACTGTGCCGCGGCTGTTGTACCATAAATTCAGAATACCAAATCTCATCGCTTCCAGAAATTCGCGAAATTCGCGCGCCAGTACGGGTGCCTACATATTCTATAACGCCCTACAATTCGTACCTTGTAGATCTCCAAACTCGTGGGTTCTCATACATTTCAGGCTGTCGTATACATACGTACAGCTTCGAACGGCAGTCATGCTGGGCGCAGAAAGTCATTTGCATTGTTATGAACATTGTTGGCGACGCGACAGCGGCTTAGACGAACGAGCCGGTCAAATGTTTAGAAAGCATGACGGAATTATGTATCCCCGACGTTATCGCCCGCGGGTGGACGCGTCGTCGGTCGCGGCCGGGAGAAAAATGGGAGACAACGTGGATAATTCATAGCGCGCTTGAAGAATTCAGCCGTGAAAGGTAACATCCGTCCTCGTCGTCCTCGTCGTCCTCGTTCTCAGTCGTGCGAACGTCCGCCCCATAAAACTTTTCCGCGGCCACGGCACCGCGCTCTCGCAGTGTTGGCTTTGCCGACCGTTTCCCGCAAGGTTGCCCCGCGGTCCATGCCCTTTACATATTTACCGCGTATCGGGTAGCGCAAACACACGCCCCGAACAAATACGCTAGTCGGGTTTAACTTGTCCTCGTGTGACGAAATCGCGACGCACTTCAACGCTCCGCTCAAATTGCGGAGGCCATATATACATGTGTTTGTGTGTCTGTGGGGGGAGGAGGGGGAGTAATGATGCGAAATCCGTTTTGTAATGGAATGTCTAAAGTTCGTCGAATCACGTCCTCTCATTAGGGCACGGGCAATTTATTATTGAAATTAGAAATTAGATCTCGTCCGAATTAGATCTCGTTGGACCTCAAAGACGACTTGGATGAATTCGTTAATTTTAAGCCGAATCTAAAATTAGAACACGGTATACTTTGAAGTGTGAAGGTCCCAAAATTACAAAGAAGAAATTCGTCTATCCACCCAGCAAAATATCAACCCTCACATGACATGTGTCTTGCGTACCCCAAAAGTGTCTGGCGCACTAGGGTTGTTTCCGCCCTCGCTAATAAATATGCTTTTAAATCTATAGAATAGAATTGCGTACAAAAATGATCGCAAATATTTATTTAAGCATTTCATTCCATTGCAAATATAGAGAGAAACGCGATAAAAATGGAAATTTACGTAAAAGTTTGTAACTTTTCTGAGAACGAAGATTTAAGAAATTAACATTCTCGGATTTTCTAGTCAATGTTTTAATCCTTAAAAGAAAAACATTATATGTTTCAAATATTATGTTTCAATTTCTCAAACAGATATAATTATTTGGGCATGCAAAAATACATCATTTTTTTAAGGAGTAAATAAAATCATTAACAATTTCAAATATTAATCTATTATAATATGCAGAATTTATTAAAACTGTTATAGAAATTAATGAAACATTAATAAAGTAACAAATTAATAAAATATTTCTTTCCTTTTATTAATGATTAGAGTTTGGTAGTGCATAACTTTCCTTGTTTATGTACAATAACCCAAAATTAAATAAACTATTTATATACATTACATTCGCGTTTCAAATAATAAGAGGTATCGTTTGGTCACGAAAAAACTCTAAGGGAGAAAAATTGATGTCGGACTTGACACTCTCCACGAAAATTCATACAAAAAAAAAGGAGTTAAATTATTAGCGGGGATCAGAAACAACGTTATACCGCGCACAATGGCGATCGTTTATTCTACCGACATGCCTCACTCGAGAGATCAAAAGAAGCCAGGCGTGCGGAAAAGGGAGAACGCCGATGGAGACGGGGATAAAATGAAGTGTAATGGATCGCACTCGACAGCTACAGATCGTTCCTCTTTCCAGCGAATTTCTCGGACCACACGCAATTTCGGGTCGAGACGCGAGGAGGCAGGCAAAAAGGCGGCTCTATTCTGCAAACGACGTGACGCGGGCCGGGAAAAAAATGTTCTCAGCAGAAGCAATCGATCACTCCGTATCCTCGATACGATATTATCGCAAGACCTGCCATTTATTATGTCTGAAGTAATTGGAAGAAGGGAACGTATAAGCCTGGTTAGCTCAATTGTTAGAAAATGTTAGAAAAAAAATGTAACCAAGCGCCCATAGACACATTTGGCCTCTTTTTCAAAAGCTTTGAATATTCCAGTTAATAATATACATCCTAATAAAAGTACACACAGAGAAATGCATGCTGCATTCAAATAAACGTTGCTTGTTTCAAGCATATTTCATAGGTTTATATATCCGCAAATTTAGCATTTTTTTTTTTCTTTTATTACAAGCATGAGATTTACTCAAAATACATTGTGAGTTTAGCATTCCATCAAGAATATTAAATTTATTCATTATTTTCAATCGAGTACACGAGCTTGTTTACTAACAATCAGCTTCGCTCGTGTGGAATCGTTCGTAATTACGTGAAAAAGAGAATAAAATTTACCCTCATCAGATCGATAAGCAATTGACGTGAGAGATTATTTATTAAATAAATAATAGGTGCGCGAAAGAGCGGGAGGAGATAAATCGATAACACGCGGTGGCAGATCACGTGCGCGAAATACGAGCGTACGAGCATCAGGTGAGAACTCGGCAGGACGAGTTTTCATGGTCGCTGTAAAAGTCCGTAGGAAGCGTAAATCAGGGTCGAGGAGTGGGCCCGGGGGGCCGTAGGGCGCTGGAAAATTATTGCCAGCCGGGGAAACCGAGCTCAGGCGAAAGTTCGCGTGACCCGCAATTCCAGCTCGACTTTCACTCTTTTTTTCCGTCAGAAGAGCATCGGTCGTGCGTACGTTAAAAAAAATTAAAAGAAAAACGATTTACTCGCAAATCGTGATACTCGAGGGACAAGAGGAACTCAATAATTCAAAATGAATGTGCAGTTTGTGCAGTTAAAAAGTGCATTGTAAAAGATTACACTTTAAGCGAAACTAAAAATCGTGAGTTTATTTACATTTTTATATCGGTGAGAGCTATACTCGAGAATCTCTGAAAACAACAATTAATATTTATCAACGTTACGTTTTCCTGCCGTTAAAAATAACAAAACATGATTCGTTTCTCTCCTGAAACAAAAAAATTGCGGAAATATTTCAATTTGTTGATATTTTATATAGATATTTTATTTCAGTTATTAGTGCAGTTTTCATTGCTGTTCGATCCTTTTATGATTCATTGCGTCAACATTCGCGTCTCCCTTCGCGAATTCCACTCTAACGTTTCAGAATTCGTCGATTCTGAGTTTTAGGAATTTTTTAATTTAAGAATTGTAAGATTGACAGACTTCAATCAAAAAATTCTAAAATTCGAGAGTTTTGTGCAACAGACAGAATCGACACGAGAATTGATAAATCCTAGAATATACAAAATTTTCTGAATATTCTAGAATGAATAGATTTTAGAATTTGAACAATACGATACATCTAAATGTTCAATATTTTTTTCATGGGAAATATCCCAAAATTTTAAGGTAATTTAACAAGAATTACGATAAATTTCAATATTGTCCTTGTAGTCGTTTGGGGAATAAACGGTCCACAAAAAGTTGCAATCTCAATAAATAATGATATTAACTATTTATTGAGATTGCAATCTTTTGTGGATCGTTTATCTCTCAAACGACTACGAAAATAATATCAGACTTTATATTCTTAAATATAATCTACTCGACATAAGCTTCAAGACGGTGTGTCATTTATTTAGAGAAGCTTTCTCTGTCATGTACTCAAAAGGAGAATTTATTCTCTACAAAGAAATATTAGGAATCTTTATCCAAGAAATTGGTTCAACTCTATGCAGTAAACAAAATCGAATTTTCATTTAATATTCTTTATTGAAATGCTAAACTTCCTGGAATTCAGAAAGTATTTTGAGTAAATTTGCTTTTATAAAAAAAATTATGATAAATTTTCGTATATATACACCTATAAAATAAACATGAAACTAGCAACATTTGAATACAGCATGCATTTTTCTGTGCGTACTTTTGTTAGGTTTTCCTTATTTCTGCGAGACATATGACTTACTACGCCCGTTTAATTCCGTCACATGTACAAATGTACAAATCAGAAACATTTTATCCCTTGCACACGTGGCTTACGCTTAAACCGCGATCCGATTCGAGGAATTAAAAATTTACAGGATGTTTACCGCGGATGTTGTTCGCGGATGCGCTTACAGAATGCGAATGATATTACCTTTCGTCTCATCGTAATACTGCACGATTAAAATAGACGAAATATTGAACGAATGGGAGAAGTTAGAAACGACAGGTCGCGCGAGTTCAAGGCGAATGTGCTCAGGTCAGATAGAGACTGACTTTTCTTATTTGTCAATGTAGTCGGGACACGCGACGCGGCAGCGAATTTAGGGAGATTGTCGAAGGAGAAGGAGGGAGGGAGGAGGAGGAGGAACAGTCGGCGAAAACGTAGGATTAGTAATCTATCTTTAGAAAAGCGCGCCTTGGGCGACCCGCCTGAGCGACTATCTGGGATTTAGACGCACGTCGGGTTTTCGCGACGGAGGTCGCGCGCAACTGCCACGAATTTGCAGTTAAATTACAAATAACCTTCACCAACGTAAACAAGAGACCCTGTAATATCGCGTCTAGAGATCACGCGGCATTAACTTCATACTGGTCTCGGGCGAGTTATTAATTGCTCACGTCTTGCGCGATACGAG